CGGGGACGACGAGCAGGTTCCGATTCCCTTTGCTCGCGTCTTCAAGAAAGTCGCTTTTTGTTTCAACGCGTGTCAAAGCCTTCTGAAGGGTATCCGTGCGGCCGGCCCCGCCAGAGATCTCCTGCGCTGAATGTGCTCCCGACCGTTGTTGTTGTTGACGCGGCTGGTATCGTCTTGGCTGCTCCCGTCATCGGCCTCGTTTGTCGGGCGGTTCTTTTGAGATGAAAAAAGGGAACGAACGGTCACACTGCCAACACTCTCAGCGCTGCGGCAGTCGACCTCGGAGGAGAACAGACAGAGCATGCTGCTCACTCAGACGCCGCGCCGTCCTTCCCGTCGGATACTCGGAGGATAAATGCGTGAGTGAAAAGGTGACGCAGTGAGCGAATGGGTCGGCCGGTCTTGGGTGGGTGGGTACGTGGGTCGATCGGACGGACGGAAGGATGGGCGAGCAAGCGCGCTCAGAGCCACCTTGATCGCGAAGTGATGAGCTCTTGAGTCACTCTTCACTCAGGCGTATTTATCCACCAACGTACGAAAGTTTAGCTCGCTTCATTTGCTGAGCGTTCGTCGTCTGCCCGGATGCTTCTCCCGTCTTACGCTACAGAACACTGCAGTCGTTCAGATTCTACGCAGATACCAGACATCGAAGCTGACTTCGCAGCTGCTTAGCTCCAATAACAGCTGCAGGGTCCGGCTTCAGGGCCATCGCACATCAGCAGGGGCGGGGAAAGCGAACGAAATTCCCCTTCCGGCCTTAGAGCGTGACCCGCAATGCTCGCTCCTCCTCGGCGTTTCCGCGGTCACGAGAAACCCATCACCGGTTTGGAGAGAAGGCGTTTGATGGGAGTGGAGGGGCAAGGATTTACGGAACACGAGCACAGGATTAGGAGAACGAGACGCAGGGAGTAGAGATACGAAGAACGTCGCGGCGCAACTCGGCATCGACTCCGCAAGAGGCAATCAGCAGATAGCGAAGCGCTGACGTATGGAAATGAGTTTGTTGACAACTGATTGTGAGACAACCTTTGACCTCTGCGGCAGGCCGTCTCGTTGCCCCGTCTCCCTTGTCGAGTGCTCCAGCCATCACTCGTCAGTCAGACAGCCACTCAACAAGTGGAATTATTATTGATACGAATGAATGATGAATGCTTTTCGTCTTGCGGTGGCGCTATTTAAGGTCGCATCTCGTGCATTCGACATCGCTCCCCTCAAGTCTGAATACACTGTCGCCGGATCATTGCCGAAGTGGGATGTCAAGCTTCGGGGAGAAGGAATCTCCCAAATCCTCCGCAGCACTCCCTGGGCCGCGTCGTAAGTGGCGTTCAGATTGTTCCGCTTCGATTTTTCCACTGTTTGCACTCCTTTGGGGAATGTCTGGCGTTTGGAATTCATCCCCCGCTCCGCTTTGCCCATCGTTTCCTTCTCCGTTCCTTTCGACGCTCGATCCTCCGTATCACGTTTCTGTGAACTATCAATAGCAGCCAGGGCATCCACGATCTTGCGCCTGAGCGACCCACCACCATTTCATTTCCGATACGTCCTCATTCATCCCGTTGGATAGAGTCAATATCGGTTGGCCGAGAGAGAGACGTCTGCAAGTGATTATCGTTATAGGCGCCGCCGCCGCCATATCGGTCATACGTTAGGACGGACAGACCGCCCTTCCTGAGTAATCGCGTAGAGCGGACCCTGAACGAGTCCAGGTAAATGATTTGAGAAAGGACAATGAATCGATCCGGCTAAAACGGGTAGAATTTCAATCATTCTATGTACAATGTGTCGCAACAAATCAGAAGAGTCACGTTCTTCAGACGTCCTCCGACCCCGTTCCTGGCGCTGCGAAGCCCACATCGAAGTTTCATTTTCTCGACCGATTCGAAAGTCGGAGCCTCCGAGCTCGTCGTAGATTCCTCCCTAATAAAACCCTCGGTGCTCCAGCTCGCGGAACCCTCATTCCGACGGGTCCTCGATTCGACACGGAATAAGGAGATTAAGGCGCGTGTGATTCGCCCGAGAGCGTTCATTGAATGGAGGGAGATGAATATTAGATTGAATTTCTCGGAATGTCTTTTTGAAACCTTAATCCTTTGACGGTTATCCGGAGGGGACGACGGACGCCCCGAGGAACTATTCGACTCTCCGCGAAGTGCCGACGAGCCTATAAAACCGTGATCGTAAACAATCCGATCCTCGAAGGGAAGATCCGGAGCGGAACCTGCTCCGCTTTCGGATCGTTTCTCGGGGGATGATCGAAACCGTGGATAATCACACCGTTTCGGGAATGTTTTTCCCTCCGTTCGAATTCCTACAGGCATTCGTTTTTCTTTTCCCTTTCCGAAGACCTGACATCCTCCCTCCGGCTCGATTTCCCTCTTAGGAAATTCGGAATGTTCCGGAGCTCGATAGAAAAACTTCTGGAACGGCAGCTACTCAGAACTTTTCCTGATTAGCGCGCCGTTACGTGTACAGATACCGTCGCGGCCGCTGTCGATGAGCGTGCTGCACGCCGGACGTGCAAACGCACGCAACAAAACTCACGCATTCATCCTCGCCGCGCGAGTCAAACAGGGGAGGAGCATTTCACATCGGAACTCCATCTCGGCTGATTGCGGTTCATCCGCCCGAACGCACTCTCGCGTGCTACCGACGACGCGACGGTTACCCAGCGGCCGACAACGCTCTTCCCCTGGAATTTTTCCAAGCGTTTTTGCCTCGAACAAAATCCAGAGCCCCGAATCGACTCGATTGCAGTACCGGTCGGCGGTGGTGGTCATGGTGGTGCAGCTGCCATCTGCTATTGGGTTTGCCACAGCTACCGATCAGGGAGGGACGGGGAGGAAATATTTCAACAACGGAATCGGCTAAACCGAGCAGCTTTCGGCCGCTGCTCGCGTCGACAGGCGACGACCCCGCCGGACTAGCGGCTGGGAGGCGAGAGACTCTCGCGCGACCAGGTGATTCCCAGCGAACAGGATCGGCAGACCCTCTGAGATTTTCCGAATTCCCGATGCCATGTACTTGAACGGCAGCTGACGGCGTTATCTACAGGAACGCTCGGAATCCCGATTTGTATTTTTTTTCCAGGAGAAAAAAATTCCAGAACCTTTTGGGACACGTAGAGGGCTACGCGATCCGAATCGTCTTCGTCCGTATTCCCCGGAGCATCGCTCAAGTCACACCGTTCCACGTACGCTTCCGGCGCTCGAAAAGCTTCGAAAGTTGCTCCGTAGTAGCCATCCTTCTCACCATCTTCGTTCGTCATCCTTCCCATGCCGGTCGTTCGCCTCGCCCTGCTCGGTCGGGACGAAGAGCCTGACGATGGCCTATCTGTCACTGACGACAAGAAGTTTAGACAATCCAAGGCCGATGGGGAGCGAACAGGCCACGGCCAAGAAGATAGCAAATCCGCGCGCAAAATGATGCGTGAAAGCTCTGCCTGAGAGAAGACCCACCGGCGACCCTCCATAGGTTGCATTGTAGAGGTGTTCGCTGGTCGGCACTTATCGACGGGCAGACCTCGACGATGGTGTCGCGACACGCTCCCGAATACCTTTCTCGGAGTGCACTCCTACCTCTGTCGATCGTCGGCCGGCAGCTACCTCCAACGCCTCAAACGGTAATCGTGCGGACGGAGGGAACTAGTGCGTTCCCCGGCTGCGAGCCGACGACCGCGCTGGCTCGCGGCTCGTCAACTAGTTCAGTGAAGGATCCGCTTCCGGAACCCACTCCTTTTTCAGCCGGAACGGCGATGGCTCCCCGGGAGCTGCTCCCGAATAATAATCAACGCACAAACAAGTGATCGATTTTTCCCGCCGGATCGTTTTCCCCTAAGCTCCGGACCTCCCCGAGCCTTTCAATTGTCGGTCGAAAGTTGTGAGCAGGGTCTTCCGGATGGACTTTCGGACTCGATCGCAGTCTCTGAGACAGTGTTTGGAATTCGATACAGATACTGTACCTACATGCCCAAACCTCATGAATGTCACACTGAGAACTGGACGCATACGTTGTCTCTATGTTGAAGTCGTTCCCGCGCTTCTCGCCACCGCAGCGACTCTCAGCATACCGGCTGTTGCCTTATGATAATCACGGTGCACCTAGCACAGGGCAAACTCCCCAGGGAGACTATTGTTGGCTCCCTCAACGGAAGCGACGTCATTCTTACGATTGGAGGAGTCGAGCCGACTCGAGACCGCAAATCCAGACGAGCGTTTCCCCACACCGCAAGACTCGGACACTCGTTGCTTCTCAAAGGATTCCTCGGCGAGAAGACCAGCTCCGGATGAAAGAGAGTGCGATCATGCGCTGCGGAAGCTTGTCTGAAGAGCTTTTTCCTCTATTCGTTGTAATTGAGCCTCCGATTATTAGATTGGGTCGGGTCTGGGTTGCGGATAGAACGGTCTTTGACAGCTTCGACTCGGTTCGAGCGGGGCTTGTTGTGTCAGTCGAGCTCAGTGTTGCAAGAAATTGCATTCCTTGTCAACGGATGACGACTCCCCCCATATCGGCACAATCATCGTAGCGAGGTCCAGAGGTCAAGCGGTCGACACAAAACCGATATATTTAACCGCTCTCTGCCGATGCGTTGAACAGGCAATTGTCGCACTCGAACCATAAAACGAGAATGTCATGTCTACAAAGCCTGACTGGCCCACTTCGGGCAACCTCCCTCAAACCGCAAGTAGACCGTGGCAATGCCATGCCCTACTCGTGTGCTCACTACTTGATGGGAGCTGCACCTCTACGTGACAAGCCATTCGCACGGAAACCTCACAAATTGATTTTGTGAGCGGAACCCGGTAGCTTCCAGGGGCATCCCGCGATCCGGGACAATCAGGAATATATGGTCTCTTCCCCCCCC